TTATTGACTTATTTATTCATTCATTTATTTGTTTACTTATTTATTATTTGTTTTTTTTTTTGGCACCTGACATTATAATACAATAAAATAGTTTCAATGCAAGGAAAAGATCAGAGGCATTCCGAATATATCGTTCATCTTGCGTTCACCGTTCGTTCACCGTTCACTTTGCGTTCGCGTTTGCGCTCCGTTCGCGTTCTGCGTTCACTCACCGTTCACACATCGTTCACCAAGTTGCGTTCAGCGTTCACACATCGTCACTCAGCGTTCGCTCAGCGTTCGTTCAGCGTTCGTTCACCGTTCGTTCAGCGTTCGCTCACCGTTCAAGTGGGAAAGTAGAACGTTTCAGGGACTGTATAAGTACAAACAGAATGTTTTTAAAAAATATATTTTGCAAATGACCAATGAGAAGGTCAGTAAATTTACGAGTTCCATTTTTATTGAAAAAGCAGTTGTCAATGATATCATATAGCTGGACTTTAATTTATCGTCGGGAATGGTTGTGTGTAAAGTTGAAAAGTCTTAAGCTTTTATGCTGTTGATTTGGTAAAATTCTGTGATTTCATATTTTCCAAAAGTTCCTTGGAATTTTTAAGTATCTACATCTGATTTACACAACTTATCGTATATATGTTGCACAGTACTCTTGAAGTTTCTCCTTCACTACTGTTGATATCTTAGTGAGGAGTAAAGAAAGAGGCTTGGTTGAACATTTACTGGAACCCGCTATGTATCTCTGTTTGTAAGGATTTTTATGAAGTTTGGGAATCCAATATAGATATTGTAATTAAAATTCATTTTGGTTTTTGGTAATATCAAAATTTCTACGTTTGAAAACATTGAAAAGTCTTTTAAAAATTCTTCCATGAACAGCTAGGGCATCATTAGTCATGTTCATGGACAAGCCTATTCAGATAGTGCAGAATCAGATATGTTGATATCATTGGATGTGAGTAAGGGTATTGTATATATGTTTCTATGCAAAGGAGCGAATAAAAAGCATAAAAGATATATCTATTATACTGACAAAGTTTGAATTCATTCTCTTATACATACTATATGCCCACTACATTTTATACCAGTACTTATTATGACGTCATATTATGACGACATTGTTCTTTACTACTCGGGGTAATGAAAAACATTAACAAAAAATTTTCGGTGCAATGGCATATATATCCAATTTAATTCGACATAAATTATGAATAATGCTTTAGATAAATAAAATTACAGCAAAATTCCTTCGCACTTTCTCATTTGCTCAGTACGTCAGGAAACGTATACCTTTCTGAGCATTATTAACCTGTCTCAACTCAAAAACTTTACGGAAAGTAACAAAGCAATTTACATGTAAATATTTTTGCAGTAATACCATTAATCCTTGGGATATTCACTTGTAATTATGCCTTCTTTCTTTTAAATTAATTATGCCATTGTGTCAATTTTTTATGTTCTTCATTATCTTGTGTATCGCCTGCGTGGCGCAGGGGTTAGAGCGTCTGCTTGAGAATCACGGAGTATGAAGTTGATCCTTACGTCGCAGGTTCGAATACCACTGCGGGACGTGGAGACCGGTCCTTCAGATGAGACCGTATAAACCGAGTTCCCGTGTCGCTGTAGGTGCTGGCACGAAAAAGATCCCTCACTGCTCAATGGCCCTGAATGCCGAGCATAGGTCAAAATTTGTAGCCTCCCACCGGCAAGTGGTGGAATCTTCATATTGGTGAAAAATATGAGAGGGACGTTAAACAACAAACAATCAATCATTATCTTGTGTAGTATGAATACTGGCTTTATCATGCCGTGGGTTTCAAGTATGTATTAAACAATAAATTTTTAACTTTCCCTTTATAATATAGATACAGCCCTTAAGCATTTTTATATGTTTTTTTTTTTATTATGGCCTCTCGAGTTAGAGTGAAAATTAAGTCTGGGAAATATTTAAATCAAATTATAATTTTGATCCTCTACGCTGCACTTTATTTCAAATACATTTGATAATATTCTATACAGGTTTGTTTTTATTTAGAATGGCGCAGATCCATCAATTTGCCCAATGTCGAAGATTAGGTTATCTGCATCCTCTCTTTCCCCTTTCTTTTCGCCCCTCTATCAATTTAGGAAACTCTCTGCATTACTTATACTATAGCATTCGTCTGCCGCATCCGTTTCTAATTTAAAAGTTTAACACATTTCCTGAATACTCAGACAATCAAGTACATGTAAATGTGTATAAAAGATAAAACAATGGATTTTTTTTTACATATTTAGTTTTTATCTTACTCTTTGTGAAGAGCCGGCATGTGTTCCTTGCTTAGGAGAGTCAATGATTTTTACGTGAAACTATAAATTCATATAATTTTAAGATCAGGATCTTAACAGGATATGCGAGGGTTGTTCGATAGATTCATAGACAAAAACGATATATTCAGATTGCGCAATAGCACCCTTTCAGTCTTCCATTAATGAATTCTTTAGGACAATTGTTATCGATATGTATAATATAGATAAAATGTTTGAAATAAAAAAAATAATAAATAAAATGTCATTTAATTCTATATTATGACTCTTTGGCAGTAAGTAAAATGCGATTCCTTAAAAGTTTTAAATTAGTCAAAGGGATAGGCAATATATTTTTATTATGGTGCTTAATATATCGCCGTATATGTATTATCTTCAGTGCCGAAATGATGTCATAATTGCAAATTTTAAAGTCCTTCGGACACTTAGTTAAGAAGAGACAGGCAATTCTGAAAGTCATATCAAAATGACTAAACGGAGTATTGACATTTCAACACAAGATCAGGAGCAATCAGCTGCCTTTAAATTCCGTTTCAAGCTAGGGAATACACCAAAAGAGGCCATTCAGATGATGGGTAAGTAGTTAGTAAGTAAGTAAATTTTATTTATAGTCGGACTATATACATTTAACAAAAAAAAAAAAAAAAAAAAAAAAAAAAAAAAAAGAGCTTTAAAGCTCTTTTACCGACTGTTATCATAGAAACACATTTAGCACAAATAAAATATACATATAAGAGAAAACATAAATTTCATGTAGACAGAAGCACATAAAAATACAAGAATGGATCAAAAGACACTGGTAAACACACATAAAAGAAGACATAAAAGACATAACATAAGAAAAACGCACACACAGGTATATATACAACAAAGATCGTGCACACATAAAATAAAAGAAGAGGTGTTAAGACAACACTAATATAGTAAAATCATAACTTAAAACTAGCAAACAGTACGTAAGAAAAGGGGAGACATTAAGTATGAGGCATAAAAGTCTGGAGGCTGCAGGAACTACATTTACAATTTAGTTCTCCACACCAAAATGAAATGTAGTTTGAAAATTGATTGAAAGAGGAGAATTTCCTGACTTCATTTGGTAGAGAGTTCCAGAGCTTTGCTGCCTCATACCTGAACGATTTCATACCATACCTTGTTGTTCTTGGTCTTGGGACCTCTGCAGTATTTGTATATCTAACATTGTATGAATTGATGGGCATGGCTGGAGACGCCAATCACTTTCTCTTCCGGTAGGTTACAAGTGGCATAAACAGTTTAAAGAAGGAAAACTTTAGAGACTCCATAGAAGAGGATGAACAACCTGGAAGACACAAGGAACTTACGCTACCGTATCGTTGTCGTGCGCGACGCAGAAAATGATGATGGAAGAATAACAGTAAGAAACATTGGAGGGCTAGGAAATTGCTTATTCGATTATTACAACGAATCTTAATATGAAAAGATAATGTACTATCAAATTAGACATAAGTTGGTTTTACTTTATATACCAAAAATGGGTGTTAAGACATCAGGAATGTGTTGACCGTAAAGGGTCTTCTTCGAAAAAGAGTAACAAATATTTACGTCAATTTGGACGTTAATGAGCTATTTTATGGACCTCTGATCGATGCTATGCTTTGTGATTTTTCTGGCATTTCTATATTTGCTAATGTATTTCTTTGATTTTTGCATATTTTATGCATTTCACCTTTCATCATAAGTTGACATAAAAAATAAGTATCTGTCTATAAAAATTGTAAAACTGTGAAACTTGTCTAGAATTTATCGAACAATCCTCGTACATAGAACTACTAAAATTAATATGTATCTCAAAATGGAAAAAACAAAACAAAACAAAAACAAAAATAAAAACGTACAATTTATTAAAATAGGTGGTAGAAATCACGCTATACATGTAATTAATTTTTTTTAAAAATCACATTTTCTGCAAATCAATTTCATAAGAATTACACTTAGAAAAAAGTAAACCTGATTGTACGTCAGTCTGGGGGTGATTTATTAATAGAATAATTATTAAGCGTTTAATTTACACTCAAAGAAACATTTCCTAAAGTTATATTGAATATGCTTACATGTGTTATTTTACGCTCATGGACGACAGTTCGAGCTGTTCCAATTTAAACAAAGTTTTACTGTATAAGGAATAAAGCATTCTTTATATATTTATTTATAGGGGAATAAATGAAGATAAACACCTACGAAATCTGATGTATGGGTCTCTTTATAAAATCTATAAAAGAGTAATTAATAGAATATAATAGTATACATGTAGGCTTAACGAATTAAACTATTCACACACTGTCATAATACTGTGAACGTGGAAATTTACTCGTAGGGGATAGTTTAACGCGATTAGAAAGATTTTGTTATTAGCAATTTTCTTTAATTCACTTTCTAGATGCAGACCATATAACTGAGTTCATGCATTTTTTCTTTTAATAAGAATATTTAATTATTGGTACTTTGTCATCTCCTTGGCTTCCAACGAACAAAATATTGTCTTTTGAAACGCTGAGACCGTAAGGAAAAGAAAGTCCATTCCCGGTGATATATGACAGACACTGTCCACACAGTCAACCACATGGACACAGTCGTTACCGCCATCAGCAGCTAGGATCCTGGACATCGTGTCTGTGGCGATTCCGAATGTAGTAAATGACGAACATGTTTTCGTCTTTAGGTTACCAGTATAACTGAAGCTCTCCTTTTTTATTAAGAACAAGTACTGCCGATGATCCGACGTCTGAAACACAAATATCAGAATTTCTGTTTTCAGCCACGCACATCATATCAAATCTGGAACTAAACAGTGATCTGTTTTCTTTGTCATTCTGTATTTCCTGTGACACATTGGAACCAGAATAACGAACAACTTTGCCCTGATAATTATTTTCACTTCTCATGCAGACCAACAGGTCTCCATCGGAAGTGGTACATATACCATTAGATTTCCACTTCGTGAGAGAAATCAGCTTCGTCGATTTCCCGTTTCTAACCATCCTAATCACCTTATCCGTATTGTTATTATACACCAAATCTCCTTGCTCTGTAAGACATATTCCATAAATATATCCTGAAGGAATGTCAACATACTCCAAATTTGTATTGTTTCGATTTATTCGCCTGATAGATCCAAACCTTGCCACCCAAATCGCTTCATTATTTACACTGGTCACGAGTTCTGAATTAAACAAACCACTATTAAGAACTCCCAGAAGTCTTGGAGTTTGTACGAGAAAACTTGATTTCTGGATCCCTAAAGGGACTTCCATTATACTTTGTGACTTCCCGTAAAGATATCCAAGCTCCACTGTGATGTGTTCTTCATTGATAGGCTTTGGAGTGAATGTAGGAAAAATAACATCTGTCAACTTTAGCTGAGTAAATTCCTCTAGATTGGAATCGAAGCAAATAAATTCTTTTGCCGAATTCATATGCAAAATACTCCTACATCTGGAAGCTTCAGTGTGAGAGTCTTTCAAAAGCTTCTTGATTTCTGTCAAATTATTGTCAATCTCCGTTATATGGCTCTGCATCATGCTATGAAGGTCCATCAACTTCTTCTGTGCGATTTCTTGTATTATCGCGTGCCATTTCTTTTCCTGTTCCTGAATTGCCATTACTAAAGGTTCGTATTGTTTTGAAATTTGCTGTTTCTGTTCTAGTATATTTTCAGACAGGCTTTCGAGTCGTTTTATGATAGTTTCTTCTAGCGTTATAATGTCGTGTTGAATGTCTTGACGCTTTAAGCTGCTTTCTTGTATTAGATCTGACATCTGGTGATTAACATGTTCTTCATTTTGGCATATTCCACAAATGAGGTCTTTACATTTTCTACAGTACAAGGAACATTTAGACGACATATGAAATCTGCAACATGGTATGACGGGTGTTGAATATCTTTCGCAGTATGGCACAATTATGTGACCTTTGGACGTCTTTGCAGTCACGTGTTTCCCGCCACATTCTCCACAGAGTTTGACTTCACAGCTCTTACAGTATACTTCCACCTCCAAAGGGCAGTTGTCACATCTGATCGCATCAAAGCCGACCAGAGACGCCATGTTCGTGAATCTGACATAAAGATTACAAAAACGTTTCCATTACTAACAGAAAATGAATGAACTAGTATTCAATATATACTAACACAAAAAAGAAATTCTTTAATTTCATCTTTGGCACTATCATTGTATTTTTATTGCGTTTTATCATAAAAAAAAATATTTTAAAGTCAAATGGGCTTACCTTTTGCACATTTTAGTTGAGCATATGGTTAAAAATCACTTTATCAGGAAACTATTATTAATCTCGACAAGTACATTGAGATATCATGCATTACTCGATCATAAATTATGGCGTTAACGAACAGAGATGATGCTCAAAAGTCCACTGAAACAATACAAATTGTTAGCAGAGCCAATATGAACCTCTGAAAACAGAGGTGAGATCAGGTGATATGCAAGAGTAAGCATCCACTAAGTGAAACGTGCTGAAGAAAAAAATATGTGTCAACCAAATCCTCTTTAAAATTCTATGATGAAGAAATTCATTTCTTTGAAAGGTTTTCTGTGTATAGGCATGTTTTGATTTTGAAGATAGATAAGAGCTTCCAATTTCAACATCAACCAAATGCATTTAACTAATTTTCAGTGAGACTTTCAGTCTTTTTTATAAATTTAAATGAAGAGTCAAGACAACGTATTTTTCACATAGAGAGCTTATTTTGTTATACTTTTTTACAGGTTTGCTGATACAATATAAAAACAAGTATATAAGTACTTAGAAATTGATTTATACGCAATAGTCATAATTTTTTTTTTTTATTAATTTGCATTAGGTTTTGCCTTGAAGTCGTTTAGTGCTTCTAATAAAATATATATATATTTGTTTGCTTTTTCAAATACTATTATAATTTTTTAAAGGTCTTATGTTTTAATGCATTCATTTTTAAAATAAAAGACAGAAAAGAAAGAGCAAATCGTAAATTTTATATGCCTTAAACGCAGTCAAGGGGAAGAATACCCTAGTGCACCACACTTTGTGACTTTATGCATTATCTACTCTATATTACTCTACTCTATATTACTCGATACATGTACAAGTATTCCCATCGTCTGCAATGAACTGCGATGGATTTCTTTTGTATAGACAGTTGACTAATTCGTAACATGCATAAAATCATGAATAAAATATTTTAAGAACTTGCTTTAAATCAAATATTAATTGTTATAATTATGTTTCAATTTCATTTTCACTTGTCATCAGATAATTATTAATTTATGATTATATGAAATATATGGAGATAACGAACAGTATTCAAGCTCAAAAGTCCATTATACAATACAAAATAGGAGCAGAGGAAACACGGACCTCCAAACATCAGAGGTGGGATCAGGTGCCATGGAGGAGTGAGCATACCCTGCCGACCGGTCACACCCGCCGTGTGCTCCTTGTCATGATCGGGAAATAACGGAAAAATCCGTCGACAATTCAGTGTGTAAATAATGGCCTAACAATTAGTATAAAAAACGTCAGTCAGCATTTGACTCAATGATAAATTGTATTTGCTGACAAGGTCATTGTATCGACCATAGAACTTACGAAATGATGACTTTAAACGAGACAGCTGATATTCTTGTTTCATCAACTTATTTGTCAATAATTTACCTCGTTTTAGAAATTGTACATACGTAGAGCATGCTCTTGCGTATCGAATCAGCTGAGAGATATATACGCCGTATGCAGGTGATGAAGGTATATTGCTGCATAAGTAAGGGAAATTGACGATTGAAAAGTTAAAGTCATCACGTTTATCATAAAGCTTGGTTGTTAGATTACCATTAACGTCTTTTTCAAGTAAAATATCCAAATATGAAACAGATGTGTCAGACTCTGTGGTATATAAAAGAGTTTACAATAAAAGAGTTTACAATAGGTACTCTCCAACCTGGGAGTGTGTAAGATATGAACGCAAAGCCTCATGATTTTCCGGATAATAATTAAGTGGTAAAAGTGCATGATGAATAAAAACTGAAAAGTTGTTTAACTAGTAAAAAAATGTTTTGAATATGCTACAGCTGCGGATGATATTCTTTTCTCTACATTTTGAACAATGTCGAGCAACATAGTCTGCAGAAAGCATCGATATCACCACGTGACAAAAATCTAGGGTATTAGCATGTGGTTCATCGAATATAGGCCTACACCTTTATTTTGATTACTATAAATATTCTTATCATTTATCACTGACTTAATTACATCCACTTAATTACATCGATGAATCAATTTGATAAGCAAATACACAAATTGTTATTCAATTTAATTTATTTCTTTATATCTATTATAAAATTTATTTTTATTTTTTGCTTTGAAGACAATCTTAAATAAAAATGACCACTCTTTCACGCTTAAATACCTTGTGCTTTCTTTGGATGCTTAATTGTGAAAGTACTTTTTGAAATTCTAAATTTTGGTTGCGGCCAATTTGATGCTTTGTATCAATTTTACTTGTATTTCATATATCTATTATATATGGAACAAGGGCACTGCAAAGCGGAACATCCCCTCGCAAGAGCACTTCGACCCCGATATAAATTATAACTTCCGGTACACCCACCCACTCACAAGCCTGTTACCATTTCCCCTTCAAGTTTGTCTTGGGAATACTAATATTTCTAATTAACTCTTACATCCACAAGAAATTCATAACCCTGAATGCCCTTATCCTAAAAATAGTCTCAATTCAAATGTATTTACATTATTCCGCTCAACCCAAGTTATAGTAATCTAACAATATTTCTATATGAAAAAAAAATGAATATACAAACCTTGAAAATTTGGTTAATATATTTAAAAAATTGTCCCCTACCTTCGTTAGTTGCGACAGGCTTTAATAACAAAAATACTGACATAATTTAATTCCTTGTTTATCGGTGACCCAGACTACTCGTCACATGCGCATAAGTCGATATCACAATAAACATTGTCAGTGTTTGAAACTGTTAATAGTGAGGGGCTCAGACAGGATAAATACAATCTCGAACTTTGTAAGGAAAATTTATCATTGCTATCAAGAATTTTAAAGCCTAACAAGGAAAAGAATTAAGATTTTAGACTTATCCAATTTAAAATGTTTAAGTAATATTTTCATAGATTTCAATTTTCATCTTATAAACAATGCACATTTAAAAATTATAGACCACATTTCTTAAAAAGCAATGAAAACCAGAGATGATTTTGTTTATGCGTTTTTGGTTGACTCTTTGGTTGATTTTTCGCTTTATTTTTTAAATTTGTTTTGGACCAATTTTCTTACTTTAGTATTTCTTTTTGTATCTGTGTTTCGTTTCATTTATTTATTTGTTTCTTTATTGTATTTCTTTTTTATCAATTTAAATGAATACATCTCAATATATAGGACGGTAAAAATATATAATAGTTATGTTTTCTATTATGCAGAAAATTTAGTGAATATCATGTTCTGGGCAAGTTTTTCAACATTAGGTTTTTTTTTTTACATTATACATTTGTACTGTTTTGATAAACATATACGTGCAAGTTAATTTTGGATTATTTTATTGTATTTTGTAAAAAAAAAAAAAAAAAAAAAAAAAAAAAAAAAAAAAAATGATCGAGCACAAAAAAATAAACCTTTTACGGTAATAGCAGATACAAATAAAGTATACTTGAAGGAAAAGGTTTATTAAAAAAAAAAAAGCTGAATTTGAAAACATTAGCCAGTAAACTTTTAACATTAGGCAACCAATAACTTTGTAAATAAAATGCAAAAAGTTGGATGTTAAGACGTCAATGGGAGGTTAGAACGTAGTGGTGAGAAGAAGTTTATTTTTAGATGGACGAATGGGGATAGGAGTTCGGTTTTGATAAGAAATAACTTTCCTGTGAAAAGATGTTTTTTGGTTTTTGGTTTTGCTGAGTTAATACACCGTACGTTGATATCCGAAAAAACAGTTACTTTAAATTTTAATATTTTTTGTAGAGACTAAGATGATTAAGGCAATTAATGGATATTTCATTATTTTGATACTGTATTAACAACCTTGTAAAATGGTATTCATAAATTTATAAGTTTTGAGGACTCTTAGGTAATTTAAGGTTATTCCCGTGTTCACAATTTCAATTCTATCATTTTTTCAAAACATTCACCTCATTGATATATTTCAAAATTTTAACTATAATTACAAGCATCTAGGCAGTATAATAAACTATTAGATAAATTTCATAAAACTGTATATAAATTTCAAATATTTTGTGTAGATTCAGCATTTTCCACATTATATTGTCTTAAAACTTATTGTCGGGTCGTATTATGATACATGTTTCCCATCAATTGTTAGGCTTTTTTGTATAAAGGTTATATAAGGATTAGTCCTGATCAATGCATAGGGTTTGCTGCGGGTGTCATTGGTCGGCAGGGGATGCTAACTCCTCCTATGCACCTGGTCCCACCTCTGGTTTTCTAGGTTTTTGTTTTTTTTGCCCTGTTAACGATTTGTAAACTTTACTGGATTTTTGAGATTGGTCACTGTTCGTTCTCCTCATCTTTAACATGCATATAAAAAGACAATGATAAGAAGTTTAAATACATAAATTTTAAGTTCTGAAAAATATTCTAAGATTGTTACACGTAGATTATATTCAGATTGAAATTATTGATCATTGTATTTAAAGATTCAATTTTGCCAATATATACAAACGAAATAACTGCTATTTTGAAAAATAAAATACTAGGATTTTCATTCCGTATACACATGAAATTTTTAAATATTTCTTAATTCGGAGGTATAAATATTAATCGCTGAATGTTATTAAAATTGACTAATTTTCTTGTATACAAAATTATCACATTTTAATTTTAATATGTTTACTTCCTATCTTCATTGAAAGAAGTCCCTGTCACTCTAGGTGCAGATTAACTTGGGAAATCCGAGAACATTTTATTCTACCGTTTTTTATGATTTAAAGTTCTATGATACATATTAAAAAGATTCTATACAAACTACATGAAATATGGAGATAACGAACAGTATTCAAGCTCAAATTCCATAAAAACAATACAAATCGAGAGCAGAGCAAACACGGACCTCCAAAAACATCGGAGGTGTGATCAGATTCAATGGTGGAGTGGGCATACCCTGCCGACCGGTCACACCCGCCGTGTGCTCCTTGTCATGATCGGGAAATAACGGGAAAATCCGTCGACAATTCAATGTGTAAATAATGGCCTAACAATTAGTATGAAAAACGTCAGTCAGCATTTGACTCAATGATAAATTGTATTTGCTGACAAGGTCATTGTATCGACCATAAAACTTACGAAATGAAGACTTTAAATGAGACTGTTGATATTCTTGTTTCATCAATTTAATTGTCAATAACTTACCTCATTTTAGAAATTGTACATACGTAGAGCATGCTCTTGCGTATCGAATCAACTGAGAGATATACACCCTATATGCAGGTTTATATATATATATATTCAGTCAGAAAAAAATATGATATGAAAGTTTTATATGAGACATTATCATTATCGCTTTATTCACTTTCATATTTATGTTTCTGATAAACATATTCAAGTCTTAATCACATACAAAGTATATAAACTCTTTGTCACATGATGTTGAGTTTTGTCGTCACTAAATTACATGTTTGCGTGATTGTTCTTTGAAACAGGATCATTACCTAGAACGTATATTATTATTTGCACTCTGAATATATTTATATATATTTTCTATAACACATAATTTTTCATCGTTTTCTATCCTACCATAGTTCTTACACTAAATGGAGAATATAAAAATGTAGAGTTTCATTCTTTTTAATTCCTGGTAGTTTCAACGGCGTTCTAAATGGTCATTGTTGTGTTTGTTTCTGCAGTGTATTATACTATTACTGATCTTGGTCATTGTCATGTTTGTTTCTACAGTGTACTTGTGCTGTTGCTGATACTGGTCACTGCCGTGCTGGGTTCTGTCCGGGAATCACCACAGCAGATCGTTAACAAGTATAACAACTACAGGACCATATGCGATGGACTTGGATATCAGAACGACGGTACAGAATTTTATTTTCTAAAAGTTTCAAGTCCCTTTAAAATAATATGTTTTTTATGGTGCCACAGTTGGGTCGAGCGTAATTCTATACCACCAAAAATCTTTTCATAACTTACACTTTTAACTTTGATCCGCTTCTTCAAACTTCAAACTGGACTATATGACGTCACATGACCTCGTTGTTTGTAAGTTGCATGTCCGTAACGGAGTCTAAATAGGCCTTTTGCAATTTTTCAAACAAAAGGTATTGTAGAGAAGAAGCAATTTTTTTTGTTTTGTGTAAGCTCTCTGCAAGAACTAAATCTTAAAAAAGGATAAATGCGGATCTATAATCGCAAGCAATCTTGGTAGCGAAAGGAATTCCAGGAAGTTTTCACAGAAAAATTTGCTTCACGAATATCCAAATTTTAGGTTGAATTTTCTCTGTTCTTACACTTAGTCTATTGAATTCGCTGCGCTCGCTATGAAAAGTGCTTGCTAACAATTTAAATGACGTAAATTTTCTGTTAAAGAATTATCTTCTTTCTGAGAAAGCATGCTTTGGTGGTCAATTTAATTAGTAATATATTTATATATTCTAGATAATTTGATCATTTATTTATTGACATGCGGTAATGATATTGCTCAGGAATAATGGGATTTATTATCAATAATTTATAATTTTGAAGGAAAAGGAACAATTGCTTTTCAATCGTCATTACGCAGTCACTTGGTGAACATGGGAAATCAACAAACAGTAATATTTGACAAGGTGACCTTAAATAAAGGAAAGGGTTATAATAAAAAGACAGGTATTTTTACCGCCCCTGACGAAGGTGTGTATACGTTCAGTTGGACGATCTTGTCGATGGCCAATACCTATTTTATCAGTGAGATTGTGCACGATGGTAAGCCAGTTGGTAAAAACTATACAGATGGAAGAGGTCGAAATGGTTATGTTATGTCATCAACAAACACCAACATCAAAATGAAGAAAGGAGATAAAGCATGGATAAGAACATATTTTACCCACGGCAAATTTGCTCATGGTGAAGACTGGAGTATTTTTTCTGGAAATAAAATATAGAAAATAATCATATATTCAGTGAAAAAAAACAGAGTTTGTTAATAGCAAACATCTAACTCTTTTTTTGTATCGATTACAATATACAGGATCATAAACGTGACTTTCTTTAATGATTCCTAAAAGAATAATCTTATTTTTTCTGTGTTTACACATAAATAATTATAAAAGCTAAAAAAGGAGATGGGCGAACATAGCGTGCAGAAAGCCTATAGCTTCAGATATATAAAAATCATGTTCAGTTTGTAAATTTAGTATTTAGAGTAGAGTTCTCATTATTGAAATTTATGAAATTATGACAAACAAAACTTTTCTGAGGAAAATTTTCTCGGCAAAATTTATTCTTTTATTAAAAAAATTAATGTGGTATTCGTGGGGTTCGAACCCTAGCAATAAAAATCCTGAGTATCATTTTCTTTCGAGACTAGCACGCTAACCACTAGACTACACAAGTCCTGATGAAGAGTGGCATTTAAATCATGTTTGTGATTTGACCCTTGACTTAATGGACTTCAAGTATTTCTCGAAAAGATGCGAATGTTATGTCATAAAAGTATATTTTTAAGGTATAGTGGGTCATTACTCCATATTTTTGGTAACCAAAAAATGTATATTTTTATGCAAACTTTGAGGATTAACTTTCAAAAAGGTGGAGCGATGACCCACTCATATCGAAAAGTAGTATTATAGTATGAGAAAATGACTCTTTTTGCCCGCTTTAGTGTGTGTCTAATATTTCACAGGCAAATAATTTCAATCTTTGAGGGGGTTTTGCAAATTATAGAGATTTTACATGAAGTATATTTTAATATTAGACGAAATATCAAAGAAAATTTTGATATAATTGAAATGTAAATTTTCTTCTTCATGTTTGTCACAATATAGGCTTATCGCTCGTCATGTTCACCCATCTCCTTATTTACTAAAATCGAAACGAATATTTTCAATCCCCGCATTACACCCCGTGCATGATGAACTTGTCATGATCTTGAAATGTCAGATTTATATCTTTGAAGTAAGACTATGAAATACCATTCGGTCATTAGTTGAAAAATATCACGTTCTAATTCATACCAACTAAAGTCCGTAAACTATCTTTTGTCTCAATGAGTGCTCAACCGCTCAATTATGACGTCATACCCTAAGACAATGTGGTACGAAAAGGCAGAAACAAAAGGGGAAAAAATCAAAGAAAATGTAATAAACGGAAAATTCAATGTTTTGTAGTTGAATATGGAAATTATTCGACTCATGAGATGGAATTGTTTTGCTTTTGAAAAAAAAAAAAAAAAAAAAAAAAAAAAAAAAAAAAAAAACACTGTCCCACTCGTGTTTTGAATTCCATATCCAACAAAAAAACATAGAATTTCCTCTATTTAATGTCCTTTCTTGCAAAATCTTAAAATGCATAAAACATCTGCATTAAGATCATGATCATGATCTGGGACGGAGTGAAACTCTGTATGTGGGTTTTGTACAAATTAAGGAATTTACAGAAAACTGCCTACTAGAAGAGCACTTAAGTGTTAATAAATGAGGATTGTTAAACAACAAGCTACACTTATAGCCGGTGATGTCTAGATACTGGCATGTCTGACTGAAATTTTGCTAAGGTATAAAACCATATTCAATCTTTTAATGAAAGACTTTGTTTTTAGCACATGTCAGGATGTGAATTACTCGAAGGGCTGAATGAATTACAATGTGTCTGGCATATTATGCGGAACATGAAGAATAGTCCACAGTGAAAGCAGAAATTCAAACTTTATTTGACAAAATTCCTATGATACCTTTGAAAACCGTGTAATGTTATAAAAAAAACATGACCCTTACCCTAACCCTTCAATAAAATTGATGTACATCCCCACATTATGTTCTGAAATATGAAGTTTTCAAAGCTTTAAGAAGTAACCCTGTTGTTTGTGTTGTGAACTTAAGTTGAAAAGTTTTCTAAGGTTGACATACAATTCAAAATCTCTCTGTAAAATACAGCTGAGAATATAAAGGGGGAAATATAACGAACAGTGATGGTTCACAAATGCTATAAACAATACAAAAAATACTCAGTGTAAAACAGGACTGCTGGAAAAAAAAACAGGGGAGGAATCAGATACCAAGGAGAAATCCTCTGCTGACCGGTCACATCCACCATAATCTCTCTCAAAATATTTTTAAAAAATATCTTTATTCACACGTAAAATTCTTATCCCATATTATGGCACCATGCTAGCGCTAAAGTGTCATGACACAATCTAACTTAAATCAAACCATCTTGGGTATGCTTCAATATCATTATGACTAATTACCTGGCCTTGCTCTTCTGCAGAAGAAATAAATATGCACTAAGTGAATTCTAGCCTTACATAAAGCCCAGGGAATACGATTTTAAAACATTTTCCCGATAAAATATGACGATAATGCACTTAATAGCTTAATAGTTCATTGAGGCAATACAAATCGGACCTCAAAAAACAACAGAAGTGGGATCAGATGCCATGGAGGAGTAAGCATCCCCTGTCTACCGGTCACACCCGTCGTGTGATCCTTGTATAAAACTAGAACGGCTATTTCAGGCCAGGATGCCTCAATAGCTTTCCACAATTTTTTTTAAATCGGTAATTTTTATCAATAGAGAATTGATCTTTATTGAGAAATTAAGTGTAAATATGAAAATGCAGTACATTGTTTGTTCTTTTTTATTGTGATTTCTTTCTCTGTATATTGAACAAGAAATTACACTTATCCTGGTATTCTAACTCAAGCGAGGTCATACAAATGTGAAGCGGCCATCCATCCAAGGGATCTTCAGGTTCGCCGCAGCTTAACTTGCTTGAAATCGTGGAAGACTCTTTCGGATCGCTAGCAAAGGTAGGTCACTAGGGAGGCAGTAAAATATTCCTATTTACTGTCGCTACTCATAGAACTATTCAATTGTGTAAAGCATGTGTGTGCTGTATAGCTGTCTGTCCGTTCGTCTGTAAATTTTATGCATTTTCAACATTTAGAACTTCAATGGATTAGGTTTTCCCAAAGTTGGTATGAAGCATTCTTGCGTAAAGGGCATTGAAATTTTTTAAACTAATTGTCAACTTAGGGGCAAATAATTCCAAGAGGAAATAATCAAGGAAAAAGAGAAATAGGGTGGGGTCATTACAAAATGACAAATACAAAAAAGAAGCACAGAGTCAGGAAAAAAATTAAGCATGTATAAGCTTCCTGACGTAAGTTAGATGCTATTTTTTTTTTTTTAAAATGGAATCATTGGGTAGGTTGTGCAAGAAAAGAGGGTTGAAATTTGTACATGGGAATATTTAGAAAAATTGACAAAGGTGAAGATAACAAACAGTGATCGATTTCAAAAATTTTTTTCGAACAGGGCATTAAACTCAGACCCCTCAAAATTTCAGATGTAGGATCAGGTGCCTAGGGGGAGTAAGCATCCCCTGTAGACCGGTCACATCTGCCGTGAGTCCTATATGTATTTTTAAGGTAAACGGAGTAATCCGTGTTCAAATTTAGTATAAAAATAATGACATAAATATTAGTATGAAACATGTCAGTAAAAATATGACCCAGCGATGGGTTGTATTTGCAAACAGGGTCATGAAAACGACCAAAGAATTATCGAAATTCGGACTGATTGGGGTTGTGCTGAAATTGGGGTTAAGTTTTACATACCGGGGTATGCATAGACACAGGAAAATGATTTCTCCAAGCAAGGCTCATGAGAATAAAGAGGGGGAACGCTATAAATTTTAGGAAGCATGCATTAAACGAACATGATGGTAAACAAAGATGCGCATCATGGAATTGTAAATTTGCCGAAGACTACCTTTAAATTTGTACCATGGGAAACTTTTTATACTGGAATTTGTTTCTGTAAAGTCTGTTCCGCGTCTGTGTCAATGTTCTTGTTGTACTTGAAGGATTATTCCAAAGCAGAAAGTTTGGGGAAAAATACTTGAACTTTATTGATCGAACCCAATCTGAATGCCAAGGTACGATGGTCGATCCTAAAGTACAATAACGAGTGCTACAAAATCTTAAATAATAGGAACCCATCAAAAATTATTATATACTACTATATGCTTCTAGGTATTTTGACTGTAGTCTAAAAAAATTCATTCAGATTTCTGTAACACTATTTCTGATATTAAAACAAAAACAAAGTACTAATGTTACGTCTATCGCCGCGAGACAAAAACGTTAACGAACACTTAAAAACTTCTTAATCAACGCAATGTTTCTGAACTCATTTTTAATTCATTCACAAATATTTTAATTTTCTTACAAACGTATATCATTTTACTAACCCTAACCCTAACCCTGACGTTTACGCTAACTTGAAAATATGAAGAAAAAGGGAAAAAATCAGAGAATGACAAGTGATAAGTAGGTCACCATGACCAACTCTCAGGTTAAGAATTATCTTGGGTTCTCAGAGTGTTTCATCTAAAATATAGGTCATGATGACCTACCTTTGGAATTTCAAGGGTTTATCTAAATATACAGGATACTTAGAGGCTTCAAATAGAAGTGATAAGTTGTACAAGTTATCAGAAGAGCGATTCAAGGCCCTTGGGCCTCTTGTATATATTTACCGTCCTATATAGTGAGATGTATATTAGGTAAACGTTTATACATATATGTGTGGTAACGGGTAAATTTGGAATTTACTGTGTGTGCAATAACTTCCCGACTTGCATGATACCACATAGCCTAAGCTCCGCCTCCGTAACGGTATGAAGATTTAAAGCACTGCAATCTTCAAAGGATATGATAGCTTAAATTATAACAGAAGATAACAAAATATAAAAATATCACTAATACATTAGAATACAAGTGGAATGGCCATTTTTAATCGGAAGATTTTTGGCCGAGTCCCACGGTATAGATCAAAACATACAAACAATCAGCTATTTGAAATATCGAAAGACGCTATCACTGCAGACCGGCGAAAAAAGACTGCCTATTTAGTTCAGTGAAAGCAAGAGTACCCTCCATAACTTTATACAAATATGCATAAAGTCCAAATTGGTCCCTCGACTGGTAATGGAGGAATAAAGGGGAACTCGAGCGTATGCGTCCGTAAAAATCCCAGAATTTAAGTGGGGCTTATCCAACTATTTTAAGCAAAGATGAAATGTTACAATTTGCTTTAGACAATTTGACGTTTTCATCCGTGCGCCGTAAGGGCTTGGGTGATGCCACATATAACAAAAAATCCCGTATTTTGTTCATTGGAACATATAGCCCTTAAATTTGGTATGTATATTGATGAAAAATGTACTAAAGAGAAGGGAAAAGTTTAGAAAGCAAAGTTTATTTTTCACTCTAGACTACTTGTCCACGATTTTACCGGACAACCCTCGTATATACTGCACACGAACTTGATGATTTTCATATTAATACTGGATAATACTGGGTTAGAAACTAGGCTCAGCCTTTCCATATGGTAGCAATGACAATGTCGATAGTATTGGGAATCTTTCAAGCCCACAGTGTAGCAATGTGAATGTGATGGGACTTTTTAAGAGTACAAAGAGACGTAAGCGTTGTCAGAAATATCAGTCTTACAATAAACCTATTATGCACGGTGTTTTCTTTGATTCACTACTACCTTATGTAAATAAACAGGCCTTCATCACATTCGCACCAAACTTTACTCTGTTAGAATAGTCTATTTGTAAGTACAGGCTCGGATCTGTGATTATAGATATTGGAAATCATAGGCTCTTTAAACCGCCATGTTTCGCGGAAGAAAATACCGCTCAAACAACCCGTTTATTCCTTAAACTTCAATATACCAACAAAGGAATTGACGCAGTTAATAACAGTAATATTCTTAATCACAAAATGGTCCAGTATTGTATTCCACCATATTTCAAGCTGAAGTCGACACCTTGAATTTCTTACAAATATACATCGACAATTGCTTCCAGACTTTTTAATTATTAAACAAAATCTACAGTGCCTAGATATTGAGCATCTGAAACAAAATCCTCCAACGTGTTCATGTTCTTCTTCACCCTACAACTATAGTCCTACTGGACACGTCACTACTGGTGCGGTAAATATAGTTAATAACTAGAAACCTTGTTGCCATGGCAACAAGAAAATCTTCCGTCCCTTCTCTGTCATCAGAGAAGTTGAT